AATGTACTGGAGTGTCCAGTCAGTGTGTCTGTATTGTGTCTCTCAGTAAGCTACGTGAGGCCACAGGAGTGGACATCAACATGCGAGTGGGAGTGCACTCAGGCAACGTGCTCTGTGGTGTAATCGGTCTACAAAAGTGGCAGTACGACGTCTGGTCACATGACGTCACCCTGGCCAATCACATGGAGTCTGGGGGCCTGCCTGGGTGAGTGTGCCCTCCTCCTGTGTCTCTGGCGCGCAAGTGCCACACACACGCCACACACAGGACACGCAAGCGCCACACACGGGCCACACACACGCCACACACAGGGCACGCAAGCGCCACACACGGGCCACACACACGCCACACACAGGGCACGCAAGCGCCACACACGGGCCACACACGGGCCACACATGGGCCACACACATGCCATGCACATCACACACGGAACATACACTGCACACACCACACACCCCATATACACACAACACACACACACACCACCAAACCTGCCCTCCAGCTGCTTTGCCCCGGGGGGGACAGGCACCCCAGAACGAGATATCACAGAGGTGCAGGAAGGGGCACTCCGGCTCTGGGGTGCTAGCTTGAATCACAGTGGATGTCACCCCAACAACAAGTCACCCCTGCGCACCCGTTATCTGCCTAGGGGGACCTGTGGTGTGCTCCTCCTGTCAGCACGTCCCTGGGGAATCACAGTCAGCTCAGTACAGCACGAAGCAGGGGAGTGACATGAATGTCTACTGTATGGCTCTGTGTCCCTTACATGATATTATATCCATCTTCAGTGTACGGATCGTGTGTTTTGTACGTTTCTGTGTGTGTATGTAAACCATAGTCATAATAATAATTGCTTACACTTACAGTATATAGCTCTTTTCTAGACACTCCACTCAAAGCACTTTACAGGTAATGGGGATCCCCTCCACCCACCCCCAGTGTCCAGCCCCACCTGGATGATGCGACGGCAGCCATAGTGCGCCAGAGCGCTCCCCACACACCTGCTCTCAGTGGGGAGGAGAGCAGAGTGATGAGGCCAGTTCAGAGAGGGGGGTGATCAGGAGGCCATGACTGGTAAAGATCAGGGGGAGTCTGTCCAGGACACTGGGGTCACACCCCTACTCTTTCTGAGAGACACCCTGGGGTCTTGACTGACCACAGAGAGTCAGGACCTCAGTTTTACATCTTATCCGAAGGACAGCGCCTGTTTACAGTCTAGTGTCCCCATCACTGTACTGGGGCATTAGGACCCACACAGACCGCAGGGTGAGCGCCCCCTACTGGTCCACTAACACCTCTCCCAGGAGTCTCCCACCCAGGTACTGGCCAGAATAACACTGAGCCCCAGTGGGCTGTTGGTGAGCTGCAGGGTGATATGTGATGTGGCTGCTTGCTAATCACTGCTGCTAAATTACTACACAGCTACTACATATCTGCTGCACACTGACACTGTTACCTCACTGCAGCTCCTGAACACCTGCTCACACTACCCCTGCTAAACACCTGCTCAAACTACCCCTGTTGAACACCTGCTCAAACTACCCCTGCTGAGCACTTGACACCCCAGGAGATGCAGATGTACTGGGCACCTTACTACACAACTACTATACCAGTACTACACAAATACTACACACATACTACATCAGTACCACACAACTTCTTCGCCAGTACTCCCCATTAGTACTCCACAGCTACTACATCAGTACTCCACCACTACTACATTACATCTACACAGCTACTACATCAGTACTGCACAGCTTCCACAAAAGTACTCCACAACTACTGGACAACTACTCCAATAAATCACTCTACAGCACTCACTGTCCGAACTCAGCAATACTAACATAAAGAGTTTTCAATTAGCAACTGATTAAGATATAGAAACACTCTTCAAACTTAAGTATGTCTCTCTCCAGGAGGGTGACAGTGTCTGTACTCAGCCTG